ATTGAGCAACGAGGGGATGTTCTTGTTGCCATGGTTTAGTACCTGGTCCGTAAGGGCGCAACCGATAGGTCGTCATACGAACATTTAATCTATCTTAAGGTTGGAAGACCCTTCCGCGGGTGCTACAATGAAGATCGGCTATGAGTCGGGGAAGAAGTCAATAATCATCTCCGAGCCGTTGAGAGTTTCCGCTATTGCAGATAGGATGCTGTTGCATCACCGACGTGTGAAGTTGTCACTGGGAAGACACCAGGAACTTTTGCGTCAGCTGTCCCCGGGTCTTTGCAGGAGTGGTCCATTCTGTAGGTTTGATGAAGATGCACGACGCAAAGGAACGGGCGCCTATGTTGTGCAACGCTTCCTCTCATCTTTGGTTGACTTGGGTGGTTGACGCTGTGTGGTACAGCGTGAGGCTTCTATCTGGATTCGGGTCTCCCTAGCAGCCACGGGCAAACCCTTCTATATTAAGCAGCAAGAATACACAAGCAGAGTAATGCCTGAATGGCTTGGCCTCTAATTCTCGACGAACATACTTGAGCACTCGACTACGAATAGCATCATCTTACCTACCTCTAATTATAACTTTGTGGTTGGTACTACGCATGATGCAAGTTGACGTTAGTTGAGACCTGCATGCCATGATACAGCAGCGATATACTTTTCATACAGTGAAGCGGACACATCCAGCGCAATAAGTTCATAGCAAATAATACCATAGAGATAGAGACTTGCATCTGTCCATCCCATTTGGTTCTTGTTGGCCTGTTGTAGGGTAGGCATCTCGTGGCTTCTCGATATCATCGGAGACAAGCCAATGGGGCCTTCCGGTTTCAGACAATATCTTTAATTCGCCTCAAGGATCACAGGATGGGATATGTAAGCCCTACGGATTAGTTGTAACATGTCACTCACTATAATCTGGGGTTCACGGTGGCTTTTCGGGCAGACTGGGCAGTCGGATTACGCAGCTGTAAATGACATGCCCATGATGGAAGGTGTTGTGGCTTGCTCGGAGGCAATTTTTTATCGTCGATGGGGATCCGGAGAGTTGGACAAAAGGGGTCCTCTTGAACAAGGGTGGCCCTGCTCCTTGAAGACGTGGGAGAAAAAGAGGTTAGGTAAGATTGGTGTGGCTGACTGTGGTGACATTTCTAAATGATGCCTAATTATCAATCTAGTATCACGATGGAAGAAGAACTAAGATCAGGAATGATCAAGACTCATCTGCATCATTGGTGAGGCTATCCAGATCCGGCCTGGTGGGTGGTGGTAGATATTAGGATCGGCCAGCAGCGGGTGGCGTTCATTTCAAGATGCAGCTTGGTTTGGCGATCGGTGCACCTAGTGGGCAGCTAGCAAGTCGACGGCTGATGAATCCAGATGACTGGTGACGACGAGAAGGTGCCGAGGTGCCATGGGCAGGTGGAAGGAAAAACTGGTTCTTGACGGGTTCAGATTGTGGCTGTCTGATGCAGCAGGACCAGTGACCGGGTGATTATCGACGGAATCGGGGGTTGACGATGAAGATCCCCCGCAAGATGGGTTGATGTTTTAACTTTGGGCAGGTCGGTGGAGGCGTGTCAGATGGTGCACATAGAGGTGGTGATCCCTTCCAATTTAACCCCCATCCAGATGTAGAAGGTCTCCTGTTTGGTGCTGGAGTTGCCTCTATCTGGGAGTTGCAGGGGGCAAAGGATGCTCTTCTCGGCCCGTTTCGCTGGGGGTGGACGGGGTGCGTTCGATAGGCCCTGGGCGAGATGGGATGAGACGAGATGAGATGGATAATCAATCGAGAGGCTCTTTAAGTTTGGCGGGTGAGACTAGACGGTCAAGACTTGTGCACGAGACGGTGTGTGTGCAGTGCGTGCATTGCCATTTGATGCCACGCACCAACTTTGTTCCTGCTCGTGATGTCTCTGTGCCTGAGTTGGGTCATCTGTCTCTGGTTGATAGGCGTTAGTGATGCTCGGACCGCCTTGTCGCATGGAACAGCTGGAACACGGGCGAAACAGAGCTAATCGACTGGCATGGGCACACGCTCGTCTGGTCGCCTGTCTGTGCTTATCCCGAATGCCGGGAGGTTTACTCCCAGCCTTGCCCTGGATGTTTGTCAGAGTGCATGAGTTGCCACTTGGGAACCTCGAAGGATTGGATGCTGAGATGGATTCAAACACTGCGCTGCTCGCTGCTTGACTGGGAAGGCAGGGCCAGATCAAGGCTGTTAGCGCGGCGCTACAGGGCGGCCAGTGGGAAGCGAGCGACTAGTGGGCGCTACCAGGTGCTACCAGGTAGGCATCTCAGGCATCTTAGTGCTCTGAATGAACAGTGTCATTACGGTACATGAGGCTATCAACTGGGTGACATACATAAGACATTGCACATGCAAAGCATAGGCGTTTTCAAAAATAGTAAATAAAACTGTGGAATAATTCTTAGAGGTCCAAATAACATATTATTGTCTTTAATGAGGGTATATAGTATGTTTATTACTGGGTTATTGGGCTATTAAAGTGAAGGGTTTGGCGACATGGAGATCAAAGTACCATTTGGTGAGCAAGTCACCCACTTTGCTATCTCAAGTGCCGATGGTCATGGCATGACGCTTGGTGCAGACTGGCAGGAATGAAACAGAAGAGGCGATCCATGCAGGACTCATTGGCCTAGAGGAGAAATCGACAAAATGCAAAAATAACCTACAACTGTGCATCCCCTCCGTCGCAGTTTAGCCTGATTCGCTGGGGAGCGGCCCAGGTGAAACAGATGCCAGGGCACGATCTCCACCAGGGTAACGTTGATGCTGCTTCTCGGCGCAAATCAGGCTGGGGATGTTGTTAAACCTGGCTCTGGGTGGTATTCGCTGTTTTTAGACCAGCAGCCACTGGCCATTCACTCCTGTCTGTGAGGGCGAGCTGCAACTCATTCGCCCAGCTTGCGCCGTGTATGCTTGGCTGTGGCGCGTCGTACGGTAAGGAATGTGCAATTAAGGCGGAGGATTGGGGGCTCCAGGTCTTCCTCCGAGCACAGTCGTTGATATCCGTCGACGTTATCAATAGGCATAAGATTACTGTTATAGGTAGGAGGTGGTGTAGCATACCACAGCTCCTGGCGCGAGGGAGCGAGTCATCCGCAAATCTTACATTCAAAACACTGTCCGTTTTGGCATCGCCTTACACAGTTCCTGGTGCCTCGCACCCACTTTTCGACGGACCAAGCGCATCGATCGACAGGCCCAAGTTCATGCGCTGCTCGACTAGCTGCCGTAATTTGGCCAAGTGCAGCCAGGCACGAGGTTAGCGTAGAGTGCGTGCAGGGTCGGCGAGCTCCTGGCCACTCGATGCTGCATTGTCCACCGTCTGTCTGAACACACGACAACAATGCTGGATTGGATAGGCATCCTGCACCCCTAGAGCCGACCCTCTGTCTCAAATCCTCGCCCTGGATGACTCCACCGCAGGCCCGTGGCGGCTACATGGCGCCAGTGCCGGATGCCAGTCCTGCTTCTGGAGCTCGCCTGAGGCCCAATCCCGGCGGCACCTCCTCGACGCCCACGGGCAGCGCTGGCCCAGATTCCGATCAGGTACCCATGGATCTCTCTTTGTTTCCCGGGTGTGACGTGCACCCACCCTAGACGACGGCTCCGTAGCTGGTTGGTAGGAGGGGATCGTTGACAGTTGCGAGCGGGTGTGCGCAGTCCAGTGTGTCTCGCCACTCCATGGCCTTAAGGTATACTTAAACGCGTACCTTCCGGCCGCTTCACTCCTTCCTCCTGTCTGTTGTGCTCTCCATCCATTCCAAAACTCCTCCTCTTCCTCTCCTCTTTTCCTCTCTCTGCACGCGAGTCTTTCCCCACGGAAACCAACCTTCATTCATTACTGTTCCTTGACCTTCGTTTGCACCGGCTGCTTTCCAAGACACTCCTTTCTCTCGCACTCCGAGCTTAGAATCGAAAAGAATTTCCTTGGTAGGTAGGTGCACCTTTTTTCGGCGCTTCTTTTCCTTCGCGGCAGCATCTTGTGGGCTGGGTGGAGGCTCAGGCTCGACTCGACCAGCAGTCTTGTGATCGTGGGCTCATCGTCACTCGCTCCCTGTCACCTGGCTGGCTTCACCCACCACGAAGCCGGGCTTCTTTCTCTACGTTCCGTCTACGCATAGAGAAGTCCAAGTTGATGAGTCGGGCTTGGCCTCGGCCCTACTGCTATTTGCCCGCTGTGCTTCTCATCCACCCCATTCACGTGCATCTGCATCTGCAGGCCTCGCTCTCAGCTCCCCCGTGGGGAAGGTTGAGGACGACTGGTGCCATCGACAAGTGTCGATCGTTGCGCGTGATGGGGCTTCGAGTGTCCTGCTTCATTTCCATCCCATTCTCTATTGTACTCTTTCGCTGTTGTGGTCTGTTGGGTCATCAAACACCCTTTGTCAAGTCCCACAATGGCCCAAGAATCCCTTTCATCTCGCTCCGTTATGCAACGTCACCTCTCTATTCACTGCACGCGCGCATTCATCATGCCTGGCCCGATTGTATTGTGATAAATACACCGGGCTTGTTCTCACCATCTTCTCAGAACACCACTCGTGTTCGACAATAACCACCTGGCCCTATTGAGTTCTCGGCACAGTCCTGAGTTCAACTGGTGTTATTTATACTTCTTCTTCACTTTCACTTCGTTTACCTCCTTTTCCTTTCCACCTTGCAAACCTTGTCACTGTCGTCTCGTCGCACTGAGTTTTCAGCAAACTTCAAAACAAAACACTAACCACTTCATCAGGGTGTGCTTCATCTTTTTGAGCACTTTGACCAAGTTCAACCACTTCCAAACCGCCGCTTGTATCCCTGGAGGATCTCAACCCGCTGGTTTTATTTCATCATGGGGCTTTCTTCGCTCCTCACCACGGGTCTTCTGGCCCTGCGCCTGTTCGCTCTCGAAGCGGCCGCAAGCCCTGCACCTGCACCATTCCCCGTCGCTGACCTGACTGCTAATGTCAGTACTCAGGCCGCCTCGTCATGGTGGTTCTCGAGCATTGAGCGCACTGGCGCCGTTCCCTTCGGCACCAGTGGCAGTGACTACCCCGTCTTCCGTAACGTCAAAGACTTCGGTGCCAAGGGTGATGGTTCCTCTGATGACACTGATGCCATCAACGCTGCCATCACTGCTGGCAACAACCGATGCGGTCTTGGCTGCGACTCCAGCACCACCACTCCCGCTCTCGTCTACTTCCCCCCTGGTACCTACATTGTCTCCAAGCCCATCGTTGCCTACTACTACACTCACATGATTGGTGATCTCTCTGATGTCCCCACCCTCAAGTCCAGTGCCAACTTCGAGGGCATGGCTGTCATTGACGCAAACCCTTACGCCAACACCGGTGACAACTGGTTCACCAACCAGAACAACTTCTTCCGACAGATTCGCAACTTCAAGATTGACGTCACCTCCCAGCCCAAGACCTCGGGTACTGGTATCCACTGGCAGGTTGCCCAGGCCACCTCTCTCCAGAACATCGAGTTCTTCATGATTGAGGACAGCAGCGAGGACAACGCCCAGCAGGGTATCTTCATGGAGAACGGATCTGGTGGTTTCATCACCGATCTCGTCTTCCACGGTGGAAAGTACGGTGCCTTCTTCGGTAGCCAGCAGTTCACTGCCCGCAACCTGAGCTTCTACAACTGCAACACCGCCATCTACCAGATCTGGAACTGGGTCTGGAACTACCACGGACTCACCATCAAGAACTGCGGCGTTGGTCTTGACTTGACTAGTGGTGGCAATGCTCAGACCGTCGGCACAGTCATTGTCCAGGACGGTGTCTTCTCCGACACTCCTGTCGCTATCAAGTCCCTCTACAACCCTGCCCAGGCCGGCACCAACGGAACCCTCATCATTGACAACACTGACTTCACCAGCAACGTCCCTGTCGCTGTCTCCAACGGCGGAACTGGCGCCACCATCCTCCCCGGCAACCAGAAGGTTTCCTCCTTCGTCCAGGGACGCTCCTACACTGGTAGCTCCGGCCAAGCCGTCCAGGCCACCCAGACCGCTCCCACCAAGCCCGCCGTTCTCCTCGACGACGCTGGCCGTGTTTTCGTCCGCAGCAAGCCTCAGTACGCTGATGTTGATGTCTCCAAGTTCATTTCCGTCAAGACCAAGGGTGCCAAGGGTGACGGTAAGACTGATGATACCGCCGCTATCCAGGCTGCTTTCGACGGCGCCGCTCAGGACGAGATTGTCTACTTCCCCCACGGTGCCTACATCATCAGCGACACTGTCAAGGTTCCCAAGAACATCAAGATTGTTGGTGAGATCTGGCCTCTGATCATGGCTGGTGGTGCCAACTCAAAGTTCCTCGACCAGGCCAACCCCAAGCCCATGCTCCAGGTCGGCCAGCCAGGCGATGTTGGCAATGTTGAGATTTCCGACCTCATGATTGAGACCCAGGGTCCTCAGCCCGGTGCCATCCTCATGGAGTGGAACCTCGAGGCCGCCAGCAAGGGCTCCGCCGGTCTCTGGGACGTCCACTTCCGCATTGGTGGTTCCGCCGGTACCAACCTGCAGTCCGACAAGTGCAGCAAGACTCCCCAGCAGACCACCCCTGCCAACCCTGAGTGCATTGGTGCCTTTATGCTCATGCACATCACTAAGACTGGTAGCGTCTACATGGAGAACAACTGGCTCTGGGTTTCCGACCACGAGCTTGACCGCACCGACTTCAACCAGATCAACATCTACAACGGCCGTGGTCTGCTCGTCGAGTCTACCAAGCCCGTCTGGCTGTGGGGAACCGCCTCTGAGCACAATGTCCTCTACAACTACCACTTCCAGGGCGCCCAGAACGTCTTCATGAGTGTCATCCAGACCGAGACTGCCTACATGCAGGGCAACCCTGATGCCAAGACCCCATTCACTGCCAACTCCAAGTACTTCGATCCTACCTTTGCCGAGTGCACTGGTGAGCGATGCGCCAAGACTTGGGGTCTCCGTATCCACGACTCCAGCGACATCTTCTTCTACGGTGGTGGCTTGTACAGCTTCTTCGAGAACTACACCCAGGAGTGTCTGGATACTGAGGACTGCCAGCAGAACATGATCGAGGTCGAGAACTCCAAGGTCCACATGTACGGTGTCAACACCAAGGCCAGCACCAACGTCATCACCTCTGGCGGCAAGGGTCTCATGACTCACCTGCCTGACAATGAGAGCACGTTCTGCGCTGCCCTTGCCTACTTCTCGTCAGCCTAGAAGTCTGGCACTGGAGACCCAGGGTCTGCCTAAGTTGAGAACTGGGAGCGACAGATTTTCAATGTAAATATATACGCGATGTTGCTGCGAGGGCTACCCCCCTCCCCAACGCTGAATTATAAGGGATGATACGAGTTTCATTTTATCAATTGCTTTTTCAATTTTGTCTCCAGATGTCGTGGCTGTAAAACCTCGATATGACTGATGAGTGAGTTAAGGAAAAATAAAGGGGATAGGTCTTTGGACGATTCAAGCATGTAGCTAGAAAAGACTGGCTAGCTTAAGGAAGCTAGTAAAATGGAATACTTGACCTATCACCTACATTTGTACTATTGTGACTGAAAGTGAGCGCCAGTAGGTTTAACTGTTAAGAACATTCGAATGGCAACTCGACTTCTCCCAACTTGGGTATGCCCGAGAAATCGCCCTTTGATTGACTCTGGTTGGTAAAGAGCAGGTATATTGCCAAGGGAAACAAACAGGCTATAGTCATTCGAATCGGATAAATTACATGACCCAGCAAGATGCTTATTTTTTTTTCACTCGGTTGAAATCAACCCGAAGCCCCAGCAACTCGAATGTATGACAAGAGAAAACCACAGATGGTTAAAGTGACGAGTTTAAAAATCCCGGGGAAATACGGGGTAAGCCAGGAAACCCCATGAGACTTACAACTCATCATGAGGTCAATGGAGACGTATAAAGACGGGCAAGGGAGCAGGGCTCAAGCCTGTCGATCCCAGCGGAAATAAAAATAAAACTTTGGGAAGTTTACAAAAGAGGAAAATCATGGAGTTCATACGGGCGTCTCGAGTTGTTCTCATCTTGGCCCTGAGCCTCCTCATCGCCAACGCCTCTCTCGTCGCTGCTTCTTCCGATGAGCCCTGGACCAAGTACATCCACAGCCCCGCGAGCCGCAGCGTCTCGCCGGTGGGCGTCCACTCCATCGAGGGAAACGCCTCGGTGAGGAACTGCAGCTCCGGCCGCCAGGTGATCCGCCTCGAGGCCGGCTCCCGCATCTCGCTCGACTTTGGCGTCGAGGTCGGCGGGCACGTCTCGCTCAACGCCAGGTCGGCCTCGTCGTCGCCCCTGTCCCTCGCGTACGCCGAGTCGCCGTCGTTTGTGCGCGAGATCAGCGACGACACGGGCGCGACTCCCGGGATGGACTGGGACCAGGCGTACAGCATCACCCTCGACGACGGACATGCAGAGCGGGCGGTGTGGTATCGCACGCCGAGGGAGCGGTTCCGCGGGGGGTTCCGCTTCCTCACGCTCAACGCGCTCGCGGACGTGGTTCTGTTCAACGTGACGTGCGAGATAGGCTTCGCGCCCAACATGCCCGACCTGCGCTCCGGCACGGGCTACTTCTACACCCCCGATGCAGACGCGGAAGTGCTCAACCGGATCTGGTACGCGGGGGCGTACACCATCCAGACCAACATCGCCCCCGCCGACACGGGCCGCTGGCTGCCGCAGGTCCGCCCCGGCTGGAGCTACAACGCGACGCTGGGCGTCGCCTCCCCCGCGCTGGTGGACGGCGCGAAGCGGGACAGGGCGATATGGCCGGGCGACCTGGGGGTGCAGGGTCCCGTGGCGATGATGGCGTACGGGGAGCCGGGGAGGGAGAGCGTGCGGAACAGCCTGGCGACGCTTTTTCACTACCAGAATGCTTCGACGGGCATGTTCCCCTTTGCTGGCCCGTCGACGGGGAGTTTTCGCAGCGGGGCGAGGAGCGATACGTATCATAGTTGGGCGCTGATTAGTATGTACGACTATGCTGTTTGGTCGGGGGATGAGGCGTGGGTGGCGGAGCACTGGGGGAATATCACGCGGGGGGTCGAGTATATCACGAGTAGGTTGGATCCGGATACGGGGCTGCAGGAGCAGGTGAATGAGAATGACTGGGCGAGGAGGAATACGGGGGGGTTCAACTCTGCGCTGAACGCGCTCAACTACCACGCTTTGAACTCGCTGGCGACCCTCGCTCAGTCCGATGAGCAGAAACAGTCATGGGAGGAGGCGGCGGCGAATATCAAAAAGGGGTACAACGACTTACTCTGGGACGAAGAGGCGGGGCTGTACCGCGACAACCCCACGAGCACCCTCCACGCGCAGGACGGCAACTCCCTCGCCCTGCTATACGGACTAGCGGAGAACGAAACCCAGCGCATGGCAGTGAGCGAAGGTCTGGAGCGCAACTGGAACGACATCGGCCCCGTGACGCCAGAGCTCGAGGACACCATCTCGCCGTTCGTGTCCGGGCTCGAGCTGCTGGCGCACCTGCACGGGGCGGGGAACACTAAACGGGCGCAGAGGCTGCTGCGGCGGCTGTGGGGGTATCTCCTGGATGATAGCAGTGGGTTGTTCACGGGGTCGACGTTCGCGGAGGGCCTGGCTGCCAACGGGAGTCTGTACTATCGGTCGGAGCGGTCGTACAAGTACGATGCGGCGTACACGTCGCTGGCGCACGGGTGGAGCTCGGGGCCGACGACGGCGCTGGTGACGGGCGTGCTGGGCTTGCGTCTGGAGGAGATTGGGGGGAGGAGATGGTCGTTGAGGCCGCAGCTGGGGGAGGGGCTGAGGAGTGTTTGGGCTGGGTTTGAGACTGGGCTGGGGTGGTTTGAGGGCAAGGTGACGGTTGGTGAGGATGGGGGTGTGGAGGTGGAGGTTGTCGCTCCCAAGGGGACGAAGGGGAGGATTGTGTTTCCGGATGATGCCAGGGGACGGGTACGAGTGAATGGGAGGGAGTTTAGGGGGCAGCCGGAGGAGACGGTGTTGGTGATGGACCTGGAGATGTAGGTCAATACAAAGCGAAGTCTGATATACATCCATATGTTGTCATGTTAACCTATTATCATTGACCAAGACAGCGAGAAATGATGCGTTAGATCCCTAACATCATCGATTGACTTCCTTGCTCACCAACCTGGCCAAGTTGCTCCTTTGGGCGGGCAAGATACTCTCTCTAACCTCATCTCAACTGTCTATTGTGCCTTTTAACTACTACCAGTAGATTAAAGCTTGCAGATGCTTAAAAGGACCACCACCGCATGACCTCAGTGCAGATTACATCATTATCAGGTCCCTAAGAACCTTGGTAGGAAGCAGTAAGTATACTGCTGTTAATGCTGAGTGCTCATCACAGGTCAGGATATAGAAGAACAGATACTACACATTGCAGAATGAAAGAAGGAAAAATTTAGAGGGCCACGGCTGGTACTTATAGGCTTCCTAGAAGCAGAGCTTATGAAGCAGGCGCGAAGTCAAACTTGGAGCTAGACGATAGATCCGGCATCCTGGTGGCTCCAGGCATACTTCCTCGCGCTCGTGACGAGAACCTTCTTTTTGATTCCCCAGATGTGGACTAAAAGATGCACGACATATCCTCGGTGTGCAGAAGACAAAGGCCGTGCCCGTACGAATCAGTTGAAGAGTCGAACGTTCTGAACTCAAGGAGGATCTGTCATTTTGCGTTGATCCATGCGGAGATGCTTTTCTTGTGGCCCACGATAAACCTAAGAAAGCTACACCTAAATTATTAAAGCTTTGATTTGAAGAGCGGCCACAGTTAGGATACAAAGAGATTCACATTTGCACCACAAGGGTTTTGTCATTATTTCTCTAGCCATTCGAGCGTCCATTGGCCATCCAGCAGCCTTTCTGAGCGAAAACCTGAAGGCTTATCTATCTACAAGCGAGTGAAAGCAATAGACGTTTCCAAAAACTGAATTGTCGTTGTATCACTAGTTTATTTACGGCAGGCCTAGGCTTGTTGTTCTTCCCAACCTTGCACGAATTTGAACGTTTGCCAGAGCCATTGCCACCTTTCCCAGGGGCATAGTTCACTTCGGGGGGATTTTTCTTTCGCACCCCTTGCTACTTTCTAAAACGTTGCTTTTTTATTTTCCTTCATTCGTATAATTGTATTTCTGGAATGTCCTTTAATCCTCAGCCAAAAAGACCCTAGGTACCTCCTTTGCGGCCTTCCCACCAAGACACTCGTTAGCAACCAGCACAAAAGGGACATTCCCGAGGACAAGAGGTCTTTGCTCACTTTTTAACCCCAAGGCTAATTCTTCTTCCCCTGGATTTCTCTTGAGTCCATTTCAAATTGGGGTTTCATGATGTTGAAATATTTGGCTTGGGGTACGCACGGCAGGGATAGATCATTGAAGCTCCTAAGGCACCTCGAGGCTCCAACAAAATGACTACCAGTAGGTATTCGGTACCTTGACTAATATTTAGACCTCTTGCTTACTGCAGCCTTGCTCCCTGGGTGGATTGGACACAGGTACTGGAAGACTTTTGCTAACAGTTCCAGTTTGTTCTCTCTTTCGACGGAGTGCGCGGACACAGATTGCGGTAACCCATGTGCATATAATCGACATAACGTGACCCAGCCCATTCAATGATATTCTAGGCAGCAGAGGCTTGCCTTGAGGGTAATCAACAGTGTAGATGATCCATGCCTCCTCTAAGATCGTGAAGATCCGCGTCATGATCAATGCAGTAAAAAGTGTTCCCTCAAACTCTTGAGCGCGTGGCGAGCCCTGCGAGAAGAAGCCGTATTTGTCGGGAATCCCAAGTACACGAGACTGGATATCATAGCCATACGAGGTAGCCGAAGGCACCGGAATGTCGAGGCCATCGTCGTCGAGTCGCCTGAAACGAGCCCAAGCCGCAGTGAGATAATGAATCATAGTGAAAGCTTTCTCCTTCTATAATTTGTTAGCTAAGTAATCAACCGAATGAAATCCGAGGCTTTTGGACCTTAGATCGCAAATATTAGGTCTTACTCAATCATCTAGCTAGGATTGTGAAAGCTGAGAATGTGGAAGACGATGGAGACCTGGACGCTAAATATCATCGTGCTTGTTAATGGAGAAGCCTCATATTCGCCGGCTTCCAGGTTTTGCTTTGGGTACCTAGATAATTTCTGATTAATTTCAGACAGAATAGCACGTCTACGTGGCTTTTGCACGTCGTCTGGTTCGATCCATTCGTCTCCCTCCAGGCAGAACAGCCTAGCGATTCTTTCCTTAGGTTTACTCTGAACTATAAACGCCTCAGGCTTCTATGGGTTTGTTCTGCCAACAAATGACTAGTATTGGCGTATCTCAAACTCAATTAGCTTTCACGGAATACGAGAAGAGACGCTGAAAGACCAGGCCAGTGGACCTCCCAGTGCTATTCACTGACGCTGATGATAGTTAGGAATAATCGGGTAGACACAGAGTAGCCGATTGTCCCATTCGTCGGTAACAGGTTCAGGATGCAATCCAGATTGCCCGAACCAAAGTGATTCACATGCTTCAGGAAGTCAGCGGCTCTATGTACGAATCTAAAGCGGTAGCAAATGGTTCATGATGATGTACAATTCGTCCTTTTGCTTTTGCGAAGCAGCGAAGCTAAACTTTATCGTTAAAAACATTACACCGCTCATCTATTCAGTGGTCTAAACATAGGCTTTGGCTTTATTCGTACAGCCGCGAGGACGAGACAAGGGGAGGCGATTTGCCCAACCAGGAGCATCACCACACTAAGCCAACTTGAGCTCGCCGTGATCAGGCAGCAGGCATATAAGGGATAATGCAACGGCACAATGTCAGCGAAGTAGCTGCAATCAAACAACTATTTACTCAGACGCATAAATCATCCCTCCGGGATCTTCGCTTTGTTCTTTTTGCCTATTCCCCTTTTGTGTTGTTTCTTGCTTCGATTCCACACCATGTCGTTACCCGCTCCTAAAACGCCAAAGATTTTTGTTTGAAGAGCCAATCCAGTTAGGATACAAGAAGATTCACATTTGCATCATAAAGTTTTCGTCATTGTTTCTCTAGCCATGTGGGCCCGTCAAATGGAAGCATCGCAGAAGCGAAGCCTGCAAAACTAGCATGAATGGCTTCAAGCGACTGTGCCTGCAGGCCCCTAGGACGACGCCTTCTAGATGAATCGAAAGCTAAACCCATCTATCGAAGCTCTCGATACATGACGCAAAGACTAGTGAGCTATCTGACTGGGAGCTCGGTTTTCCTTGGAGCACACGTGATGGAACTTTGATGGTGTAGTGATGACTCCATGATTCCCCAGTGCTACAGTAGTAATTGGCGTGCGAGCGGTAACTGGAGCAACTTCCTGTCGTATTTCCATACAGTTTCACCTGCACATGTAAACCTAATGAAGAGGAGGTTGGGCCATTTTGCGGCATCTACTCCGTACCTAATTGGTCACTGTAACTACGCGCCCAGCTCCTACGTTGGAATGTATGTGACAAGAGGAGAGTGGATTGGCCGACGGGAGGCGCCGGGCAAATCAGCGGGAGCAAAGTAAGCAAATGCCAAGGATGAGGTTCCCGTGCATGAAGGCCCTGTCTCGACATCGGTCGACACTGGCAGGGTAATGTGGTAATGAGGGGATATGGTGTGGCACATGCCTGGCTTCTGGCCTGATCAGCTACGAGCTGCGACACGAAATAGCGAGAGGGTGATGTAATTGCATGCAGATGGCTGTAGGGTAGGTGGTGGCATCACGTGAGGTTGCCACCCCAGGTTCGCCAACGGCCGGTGGGACCCCGCACTTGCTGGCCAATCACGGCCTGCAAAGTCCGGCTTGGGTCACCAACGGAGAAAAAGGTGCGCCTGCAATTGGTGGCAGGTCTCACTATCATTCGATCCCTCCGGAGGTTGTCTTTTTTTCCCCCATCCCATCAGTGCCGGGCCCCCTCTCAATCCTCTGGTCACCTCCATCTACCTCTCCTTCCTCCCAGTGCAAATATTGGGGCACGCGATCCCAAATTGACTGCGGTTTCCATCTTCCTCTTCTTCTTCTACCCTATCCGAGGTCTGGCCAGGGGGGCGAAGGGTCGCATTCTACAATCTTCCATCTCCAGAGCCGAAATCTCCGAGTGTCGTTCTGAGCCGGCTCCGATCTTCTCTAGCTATCTGTATCCAAACACCAATACCTCTGTTACCTCTGTTCATTACTCGTGCCACGAGTCGGCAATTCGCTACAATGGTTCTCACACACTCAACATCGCATACGTACTCTCATCCTTTCCCCACCGTCACGCTCGCCTTCTTCCTGCGGTACTGCTCGCCTCGTCTCAATCCATTCGCCACGCACGTCCTCAGCACGGACACCATCTCTAGCCATGTCGACCCCAAGACGAACCGCCTCCATACCACCCGCCTCCACCTGAAGAAGAGCCGTATGCCCGCCGCGGTGTACAAGCTTCTGCCGGCGAGTGTCACTGGAGGCGGCACCGGCGGAGAGAAGGTTGCCTATGTGTTGGAGACAAGTGTGGTCGATATCAAAGAGGGATGGATGCGCTCCGAGAGCAAGAACCTCAACTTCTCCGGCGTCTTGTCCGTCACCGAGCAGCAAGAGTTCCTCGTCCCGACCGACAATGCGTCCCTCGAGACCAACGTCAACACGAGCCTCGTCTTCAGGTCCCGCATCGGAGAGAAGATCCGCGGCAAGATCGGCCAGGCCCAGAGCGAGGGATGGCTCTACGGCCTGGCGAGCGGGCTGGGCGCGCGAGGCATCGGCCGAAGCATAGAGAGCCTAGCCTCCACCAAGACCAAGGACCAGCTCGGCAAGAGCCGAGACGGCATGCGTCATGTGCTCGAGAGAATCCGCAACACCGGCGTCATTGACATCCTCGAAGCCATCCGGAGAGAGCGCCAGCTTGGCAAAGCTTGAACGATCAACTTCGACCAAAAGGGCAAACAGTGATTTTGCCTGTACACTTGTATAACTACCACCATCACGTGCCATGATATCCGAGAGGCGTTAGGAACGGCGTTTCTTCCTTGTTATTTAACACCCTCCCGTGCCTGTATATATTTATTCACCTCTTGTTTTTTACTTTAAGCCTGGCGCAATGCGGAAATTGGAATGGAATGGGACGGTCTTTCAATGGGGACTGACCGGGAAAGGCAGAAAGAACTGCCTTGTTGAGAGGAAGAAAAATCGTGCGCGGTCATGCCACGGAACGTATGACATCCCCTCTCTTGTATCAGATCAAAACGCGCACGAGTTCCTGTATAGTTCACAACGGCGCTTCAATTCAAATAGTCTCGGTGAGACTTTCAATTTACTGCACCTACTCCTTGATGTCCTTGATGCGTAACATGCCAAGTCGGTAAAATAAAACATGGCACACCAAGGCCCTTTTCGCAAAGGGCAGGGTTCTGCTTTTGTTTACTAAATACGGTAATAAGAGAATAGTAAATTATTCTATAATATATAGCTGGGTATTGTATTTATTATGAGGTTAATTGTTTCGATATTGGGTTGAAATTCAACGCTGAAGTATTTAGTTTTATGTCAGTCGCTTGGATGCGTAGCTTGTATATCGCGCAATGGAACCAGGAAGGCTGGCTGGGAAATCCATGCCACTTGATCCAGTCTAAAGATCGCCAGTGTATTATGAAAGCCAGAAATTAGCAAAATTCCCAGGCGTAGAGCAATCGCAGGAGGCTACGATGCGAGAATGAGAGCCGATTGGTACAGTGCAGAGTACATCTCGGCCAGGCTTGCACTGTGCCTCCATCGCGGGGTAGGAAGTTCTGGATTGAGGTTTCGATTCTCATGTAAGCATCCCCTATCAGCCTCGCACCTCTCCAAAGCCGATCAAAATGGCAGAGCCCGTGTCCGTCCTGTTCGTCTGCCTTGGCAACATTTGCCGGTCGACCATGGCCGAGGGGATTTTCCGGAACATGGCAAAGCAGCCCGAGTACAGTGGCAAGATTGGAAAGATCGACTCCTGCGGAACTGGTTCGTAGAACGGTTTACTCTCAAGAGACCGTTGGGGTATCCTTGGCTAATTAGGGCCAAACGGGCTTCACGATTTTTTAGGCGCTTATCATGCAGGAGAATCACCGGATTCACGAACCTTGTCGACCCTTGAGGACAATGGCATCACGGACTACGACCATGCAGCCCGCAAGGTTGGTCTCCTTCTCTCGCAATGGCGATAGACAAAAACCTAGGAGCACTAACAAGTTAATTTCTCCGGGAAACAGTTTTCCACATCGGACTTTTCCAAGTTTGACTACATCTTCGCCATGGATCGGTCCAATCTGTCGGACCTGACGAGACTTCAGCGAAACCACCAGGACACCAAGGCCAAGGTGATGCTTTTCGGGGAGTGGAGCGGAGTCGAGGGCAGGGCTGAAACGGTCAGCGACCCTTACTATGGTGGCAGAGACGGGTTTGAGAAGGCGTTTGAACAGTGCTCGCGGTTCTCAAGAAATTTCCTCAAGGAAGTTGCGGGCGAGTCAAAGGAGTAAGAATCAGAGACGCTTGGCAGGATACAGCAATAAACCACAGTAGAAAATTAGAAGTATAGAACGATACGGGATCATCATATGCCCCTTTAGGGAAGCCCCGGTTACGATATCTTGCAATGAATATCCCCCAAGGCATGGTGTCTGCTGCGCTGTTGGTCGTAGAGGAGTTATCACTCTTCGTTGGTTTGGATCGGCACGGCCCGCCCCGACCAGTATGTACAGAACTGGCAATCAAATCGCCATGTCCAGAGGGCAGGGCATCTATTCATTCCTCAGACTCATTCATCTCGTTTACGAAGCGACCCTGAGCGAACCACCCGCTACGCCGCTTCGATTGAGTTGGCTCGTCTCAGCCCTAAACTTGGGGTACCCATGCTTCTTTATCGGCCCATCATTTGCCGACGCCG